TTTATACAATAATTAGCCAGCCAATATAGATAAAACAATGATAAATTATGTAGAAAAAATTGGACACTGATATGGTTTTGGTAACTCTGAGTGCTATCAAATGATACAGAATAATGAATACTATTTGCAGTGTCATAATTGATTAACTGCACACTTTCACTGAGATTTTTTCAGAATTGACCCTTGCAAATGTTTCTCCTTCTAAGAAAACTTCCCCCCAGATCTAGCTTTTTGAAGACCGATTCTCCTTTTGTTCTCTGACTCCATTTCTCTGTTCCTCTGCGATGATTTGCTCAGTGTGTACAGAAAGTGAACATCCATTTGGAGGCAGGCTCCTGATTTCTGTTTTTCTAATTCTGTGCTCTGATATCTTCCTTTCTAATGTAAATATTTTCTAGGACTCTGAAATCACAGATGGAAACTGCCTGTTTCTTATTTAGCTTTAATTACTCCTCATTCAGTCTAAGCCTTTATGCAGGCTGGTCTTGTTCTCTTCAGTGTTATAGTCTTAAGTGTCTCTCCTGCAGAATCAAGGACTGTGCCTTCAGTAGCTGTGTGGATTCTTTTCCAAACCAGGCTCAATGGGTTTCAAAGGAGCATCTCCTGTCTTAATTTAGGAGTGTAAAAGAAAGCAAGTAATCTTTTAACAGCAGTACTGAGAAAGGAAATGAGAATACAAATGTACTTGTGAACAAAATCTTAGGGTATTCAGAGAAGATTTCTGAAATGTGCAACTGCTACTCAGTTAGAAAAGCTACATAATCTCTGATTAATACCAACTGCAACTTGAAAAGACTACAGCCACTGGAAGGCCAGTGTTTTACTGTTCATAGAGAAGATGCAAGCCGAGATAACTCAGACATTAGCTACAGGGCTCAAATGCTATACATGCCAATGTTTACCCAAACAAAATAGGGTCTCCTGTTGTCAGTCCTCCATAAGCACAAACCTGGCTGTTTCCCAATAGGGTATGAGTAGTATTTTACTTCTTGACAATGAGTTCACTTTTTTAGTTACGGTAAATGTTGCCTACATGACCTGTGTACATTCTGTCCAGTTTCTAAACATAAACCCAGCCAATGACCTGTCCCACGAGAAAGGCTGATACAGTTATTTCAAGCCATCAGAAGAGAATACAGACCCCACACTCCTCAGCCTAGGATTAGACCGTGGTCTCCATCTAAAGATATGTTTGTGTAAATACTGGTTAAGGTGTATCTGCTTAAGTTGGGACTGCTTGTTCTGAAAAACAGCATTCTTGTACTCAGAGGCCTGCTGATTCATGATGAGAGAAACAAGCTATGCAACAAAAACCTGAACGTCATATCTAAAAATAGCCAGCAGTTCAGACCAGTGCAGTAATAGCACTGAAATATTGGTACTAATTACAGGCTAACAATTGCAGACCTTAGAGCTAAGAGTAGATTTCTGAAGCAAGCCAGAACAAGATGTACTCATAAAGACAAAGCACTGCGGGATGCTATCATGAAGATGGCTGCATCAGATCAGCCTCACACCAAGACACAAAGGAAAACCTCTTAAATCATTAGCAAGCTGCAGCATGTCATTATTTTAAATAGCTCTCGAAGTGAACACCAGAGCCAAAGCACCTACAAATATCCCTCCTCAGTGATCTCTAGGGTTCAACTCCGGGCTCTACAATGCCAGAGCTTCATTTACGGGATTAGGCAGGCTAAAGCCAGGCACAATTAATAACTCATACTACACCTTCCTTGGCTTTGCCCACCCTATCTGAAACGATGCTTCCAGATCCAGTCACTGTCTCTTCTCAACATCACATTGCCAGCTCTTTTGCTCCATGTCTCCTACTTAATAGGAGGCTCAGCACAGCCCAATGCTTTCAGCAACGCTGCATCACCATCCCCTGGTTCATGGTAGGGACACAGCACGCAGAGGGGTGGCCTGCAGGGCTGGTTAGCACTGCGTGGAGGAGGGAAGGAAAGCTGGGAGCACTGCGGGCAGACAGAGAGCCTGCCAGGGAAGAGGAGGAAGGAAAAGAGAGGCTAGAGCAGGTATAATGGAAGATGGAGAAAAAGGCAGGGTATGTTTGCCAGGGCACTGCAAAAAGAGGGTGGTCTCAAAACACAGAATTGTCGGCATTCTCAGAGGAACTAGGAGGAATAAAATCACAGGCTGAAAAAGAAGGAAGTAAGAAATCATGTCCTGAAACAGGGCAGCTTCTTCAATGCTTGACTGCTCTCCTGTCTTGCTAACCAGGAGGCACTGCCAGGCACAGACGCCAGACACAACAGTCTCATCTGAAGCTCCACAGTGCCAGGGGAACACAAATGGCTTCCCAACTTCATCCTTCCCAGGGCGAAGCACATCCACTCACACACTGGTTGCCTCCCATGCTTGCTGTCTGGAATAGTCAGATACAGACCTTCTTGGAGAGCTGCATGCATGAGCCTGAGCACCAGGGCCTGCCACACTGCCACTTCCCAGGATGACCAAACATGCATCTGGCACCTGCCTGAGACATCAGCCTGTCCCTTAGGGAGCTTGGTCTGAGCACAGCACAGCAGTACCTCCACAGACACTGAAATATGGACGGTGATTAAACAAAATGATTGCATCTTTCATCTGAATGAAGAAAATGACATTCATTGTTGGTATTTATCTGCCACTCTGTATTTTTTTCCTTCTTTCATAAAGTCACTACCCAGTCCCTGTACCCTGCATTTCTCCAGTTGCAGTAATGTGGAAAACTCGCAGAGTTCTCAAAATTCCCAGAACTATTTCAAATGCATTAGAAAGAAACCAGGTCCAAATTTACAGAAGGTAAAATGAGACACAAATACCACTGCCATAATATCCACCAATTTTGGTTTCATTCCACACAGAACTCAGCGCTTTTACAGCACTTACTGAGTCCAAAGTACCTCTTTAATTGGTAGTCTTCAGTTGAGTCACTCAGTTCTACAAACCTTCAAAGGAGACAGAAAGTTCTCTGAGGAGCAGGACTAAGGTCTGACTTCCTGAACTGCTGTCTGTATGTCAGCCCTGACTTAAGCTTTTCCCAAAATTAGGACCTCCGCTTGCCTGCTTTATGGTGCAAAAGTGGTGGTCTAATGCTATGTGCCTGCATGAAAACAGAAAAGCCCTTGTCCTTCCCCTTCCAGGTTAGACCCCAGTATGCAATGCTGCATCCCACAGCCCTCTTAGAACATGCTTAGCTGCCTTCACTGGGAGATTAACTGTGCAGCATGAGGCACAAGCCTCCTTAACCCTTATGCCAGCACAGGGTAAGGGACAGCATGACTATTTCTGCATTGAGGCTTGTGCTTTGAAACAGAGGGTCTAAAAGACCTGTAAATAGGCAACAGACAATCATTTTCCTTAACCTTGCTCTCAAAATGAATGACTTGATGTTCTTTTTCTCAACTTCTAGACAAAGTATTCAGACCAACTCAGACAAACCCAGCATCATGATCTCTCCTCAAACACTTAAAGGACTGCAAAGTTATGACATGGCAATACACACCTCTCAGAGCATGTTCTGGTGCTCAGGAATTTAAGACAAATCCCACACTTGTGCTGAAGAACCCAATTTCTGGATCTGTGTTCCCGTATCAGCTGTCAGCACAAAAAAAAAAACAATACAAGACTTCAAAGTTTTTAGCTCTTTTGAAGGAAAAGTGAAATGTGATCTCAGCACATCTGAAGGACCAGAAATCATAAGACAAATGAAGAAAGACTGATGGGTGGTTTGGTTTGTTTTTTTTTTTTGGTCAGTCTTCTGGCCTGGGAACAACAGCTAACCCAGCATTTTTTTTTACACTTGACATTAGCAGTTCTGCTATTTGCCCCAAAATACCACTTCTTCGGATTCTAATTACTGTGGCACTCTGCAAAGTAAAATGACAAATAGCTTAAAATAAGAGCTGGTCCTAATATGAAGAAGTAGGTAAATATTGAATAAATGCTGATTTTACCTCCCTCCCTGTGCCCCCTAAAATTTGAATATGAAAAAATGGTATTTTCTGTATCGCAGTTAATAGCCATTTTTCCACTACAAGGGTTTCTAACAGCACATTTGAATCCTACTCATGGAAAGTTCTGTCCCATCACCAAACACAAAGGTACCTACTGAAGACAAAACCAGAAGTTGCCATTTCAATTCAGGACCTTTTTGGCTACAGACTCAGATATTTTCAGCCTACATATGGGGTCAGAACCATTTTCTTTTTAAGCAAGGCCCTGCAAACACTCCTGCACCTGCATAACTTTATTTGCATGAATTTGTTGTGGTACTTCTTGTAAGAAGTTACTTACTGGCTGAGACAGATGTGAAATCTATTTCTTGGACAGTGAGGAGCACGGCATGTGCATTCAATTAACACGAATAAAAAGAAAGTGCTACATGGATATTTTTGGCTGCATCTCCTGGGAACGTTCATTCCAGAGGGAGTGGAGCTCCCCCCTTTCTGCCTGCCCATGAAGGACTGCTGTACTACCAGAGGCTGTGCTGGGCATCAGCGGACCAGAGTCCTATTTCTAGATGAGAAATGAACTACAACCTTAAGTGAGGCTTTCCAGAACATTTGGTTTCTTGCTCCTTAAATAGGTTCCCTATTACACTGCATTTTTTAAGGTTCTTTTTTGTTGATTTCTTGAAATAAACTGTTCTCCAAATGCTTGATTTATGGCAAATCTCAATTTGAGAAAACAGCCATTGCAAATGTTCAATTGTGAATTTTACAAAAAGTCCTTAACTTCTCTACATGTCAAAATTTGAGTTAGCTTATGCTACAAAGTTAAGAAGGCAGAAGAAGAGGTCAAAACAAAGTGACACTTTTATCAGTCTGATCTGAACCCTTTCTGCAAGACTGATGAGATGACTGACATCTCAAAACTTTACAGTTCAAAGTTAACCTTTTTAAAACTGGCATTTCAGTTCATTTTGAAAATTCTGGCTCAGCTGGGGCTCGGGGGACACTTTTGCAGCACACGGTAAAACTGATTTTGGCCCAAGGAAATTCCCAATCCGTTGGGTCCTACCAAATGTCTTTGGTTTACCTCTGAGTGTGCTGGGTTTTATTCAGCATGGTTTGAGAGGTCACACAGGTAGCATCTGACCACAAGAAAGCCACTCACTAGACCAAAACTCTGCTCGGTACCATGAGAAGATGGAAAATGTGCAATCGAACCCTGGGCATAGCATCAAGCCCCCACCGTAGCCAAAGTGGCTGTGGCAGGGGACACCCAGGGACCTGTGATGACACAGGGCCTGCTGAGTACACTCAACCCCAGCTCATCCACCTCATCCCCATCAGCCCACACAGCGTGAGTCATACCCTCAGGTACGGAAATGAGCAAATCAAATCTGAAACATCATGCAAAGGGGAGTGCGTGGCACCCGATGGTTTGCAACGCAGCTCTTCTTTAAAGTGCCAGAGAGCGGGCCTGGGATGGGAAAGGGTCAATGTGCAGTTATTGGGTGGTGTAAACCAAAAGATCCTCCCTGGAAGAAGGGCTGGGGCCCAGCTGTCAGGTGGGGATGAGTGCAGAGAAAGCCAGCCTCCAGTCCTGCGTTCGTGTCCTAGTGTAGATAACCTTCCCACATGCTAGCGGGCTGAAATCAGAGCGGTGTCACGGTGTCACGAATGTCACAGCAGTGTCACTGCAAACACAGGCAGGAAATAAATGCTGTGTTTCATCTCTCACATGCCAGAAGCCATTCGTGAGCATGTGGGTGCTGAGGGCTGAGGCTGTGGCCTTGCCCTGCCCGCAGGAATCACCGCAGGGGCAGACGCAGCGCAGGCTGGCAGTGGGAAGCAGCAGGTACCGAGCACAACTCCCCTCTTCTCCAGCCACCTCGTATCTCGACAGTGAAAAAGTGTGCTGCCCGGCTTTCTGGGGAGAATCAGGCTGCGGCAGCAGCATTCATTCACTGCGATCAATAAAAGAGAAGCGACGCCAATCCGTGACCGGCATGAGACGGGATCTGCGTTGAAAAACACCCTGAGAGAAGCGGCCCGCTGTGAGATTTCCCCACACGGCAGAAGACGACGTACAAGCCGCGCCAGGCAGCAACACGCACTCACGTCTGTCCCCACGGGAGCCCCGTGCCCGGCTCCCCCCTTCCTGCCTCCTGCCCCCCCGCGGCTGGCCCGGCGCGGCCGAGGCGGGGCGGAGCGGCCGTGACGCGTTTCCACCGCGACCGCTGGCAGCTGCGCGGCGGCCGGCAGGCCCGATGGCGGCGGAGGCGGTGGAGTACGAGGCGGGGGAGCCGCACACCCGCGTGTTCCGCGTGGGCGCGCTGGGCAGCGGCTGGCGGCAGTGCCTGCAGCCCCGAGACCTCTCGCTGGCGGAGGAGGAGGAGGAGGAGGATGAGGAGGAGGCGGCCGGGGCCGTGGCGGAGGAGCTGGGCTGCACGGCAGAGACGGCGGCCGAGCTGCGGGCCTTGTGCAGTGTTGATACGTTAGTATCTGCCGATAAAGAGAGGGACCCAGAAGCGATTCCCGAAGACAGCGGGCTGGAAACTCTGCGGTTTAGGAAGAAGGCGCTGCAGAGGCGAGAAGAAAGGATCGTTGTGGATCGGGCCTGCAGACAGGAAACGCTCACTTACGAGATGGAGTCGCACGCCATCGGGAAGAGGCCTGATGATGCAGCAGACCTGGTGGAGGAGGGAGAGCTGCTTCTAACTCTGAACGTCTTCTATCCCGTCATCTTCCAGAAGCACAAGGAGCACAAGCCCTTCCAGACGGTCCTGGTGCTGGGCGGCCAGAGGCTCACTGAACTCAGAGACTCCTTGTCCTGTGTCAGTGACCTGCAGATTGGTGGGGAGTTCAGCAGCGAGCCGGACCGAGCGCCGGAGCACATCAGCAAGGACCTCTACAAATCTGCCTTCTTTTACTTCGAAGGCATCTTTTATAATGATAGCAGATACCCAGAGTGCAGAGATCTGAGCAGAACCATTATTGAGTGGTCCGAATCTCGTGACAGAGGCTATGGAAATCTTCGGTCTGCCAAAATGGAAGACTACACATTCAATGATTTGTCCCTCAGAATTGGCTATCCCTACCTCTTCTGCCACCAAGGGGACTGTGAGCACATCATTATCGTCACAGACATAAGACTTATTCATCATGAGGACTGCCTGGACAGGAACCTCTATCCGCTGTTAACCAAAAAACACTGGTTATGTACCAGAAAATGCTTTGTGTGCAAAATGTATACAGCCAGGTGGGTAACCAACAAGGACAGCCTGGCACCAGAGGATCCTTGTTTCTTCTGTGATGTTTGTTTCCGAATGCTCCATTACGATGCAGAAGGCAATAAGCTGGGAGACTTTCTTGCATATCCCTATGTCGATCCTGGGATTTTCAACTAGAACTTACATGAGCCGGAACGGATTCAGTGGTCTGCATCTGACTCATCTGACTGATGAAACTGTTGCTCTAGCTGTTAAAACCACCAAACAGCTTGAGCGTTGACCATCCCATAGGGTTTGGGGTTAGGCCTTTACTCTTCTCCTCTGAGAAGGAAGGAGCCCTTCGCATTTAAAGTGTTTCTGATATGCCTTCACAGTAACAGAGATAATCTAGCATGGAAAAATATACTCAGATGTGTATTTTAATAAAGTACATTTTTCTAATATATTTCAACTACAGTACAGTAATTTGGAGATTAGACTAAAAATCTGTAGGTTTTGAAAAGAGAATACCCTTACAAAAGCAGACGGTTTGGTGGGTTTGGGTTTTTTGTCTTTGAGAAATTTTATGCATTCAAGGCTCTGTTAATTTTAAAAAGATGAAAACATGATCTTTGGGCATCTTACCTGGAAAACTGGCAGTTATCTCTAAATAAGTTGGGAAAATCAGTCCAGTGATTAGCCTGCCCATGGCAGAGGGTTGGAATTAGGTTATCTTTAAGGTCCCTTCCAACCAAAGCCATCCTTTGTTTCCCAAAGAAAACACTTGTGGACAAAAACTGGGCAAGGTGGAGAAAGAACGGTATTTTCAGGGTTCTTTGGAAATGAGGAGAGAAGCAACACATTTAAAGCATCACCAGAGTCTGTGGTAGAATTAGGAGTAAAATTACCATTTTTGGATGAGCATCAGGGTCTGCTCAGCTCCAAAACCAGTGTGCCCCTCAATTCTGGAGTGTTCTCCAATGAATGCCCATGCCCATCTGGACAAGCCAGCTGTTCCATCATCAGGATGTGGGATACTGGAAACCCCAACCCTAACTGCATTTGTCTGAAGCACTGGAAGAAGCCCAAAGCAAGAACGCCATCTTACTTGCCTAATTCCTTGTATTTTTTAAAACATTGTGAGTAACTTCAAGTTTTCATCTCAGTACAAAGATGCAGAAAAGCCTGGTAGTCTCCCTAATGGAAATGCAGAGCTGAACAATATGTTTGTCAATGAACAAATCCCCCAGTAAAAGGTCTGACTCATAAAGTAATGAAACAATTACAGTTAGATGCTATTATTTATTAGTTATAGCACAGTTGCTCCTACAGGCTAGGACAGGCTCCCACTGTGCCTGGCACAACACGAACACTGAGCAGAATACATAATCCAAGTGTTCTTATTTGCAGAGCCCAATTGTAGTCTCTAAAAAATGCAAACAAATGATATCTCCATCAACACTAATAACAGCAGCATTTCTTCGTGCTGCCAGGAGGAAGGCAGCCTGCCCCGCTTGGGAGTGTCATCCCTTCTCCCCATGGCACTTCCAGCAGTTCACAGTGCCCCTGAGAGAGCAACCCAGCTGGGGAATACCAGTGTTGGTATGCAGGCTTTTGCCCTGGCAGATATCTCTGGAAAAGCAAATTAAAAGGCAGAGGTAACCTCTGAAGAGTGCTTATCTGAGAAGGAAGTGGATAACACTTAGAAGCAAACATAGGCAGCAACCCTCAGGTTGTCCTCGAAAGCAACCTCAGGTTCTCCAGATGAGATGCTGCACCATCCATCAGCTGGGATGTGACCGAAGGCAATTGTTTTGCCTGTGGAAAGGAGAATGTATGCTGAGCTTTGGGGAAGTCAGCTCTGTCATGCTGAGGGATATTTTCCTTTGACAGCTGGGAGAAGCTTCACTACTTAAGTGATTTACAGTCACATGAAAAGAATAGCATAAATACCACTGGGAAATTCATGGAGAATTCACACCAATGAAGAATATGATCCAACAGGCTTTACCTCTCACTTAATTTACTGCTTCTATTACTTTATTATTTAGCCTCAGCCTGTGTTTTCTGAAGATAAATATTGTTTTTTTAAGATACCATTGTGATCCAAAGCCTGCTGAGGTCTCCAGAAAGGCACAATTCACCTGGACTTGAAATGAACCCATAAATTTGAGGGAGGGGGATTGCCTTTTTTTTTCCCCCTTTTTTTTCTTGTCTAAACTTTGAAAAACTAAGTATGGATTTTGCTAGCAGATTTTGTATGTGTGTTGCAACACATTTTGCCATCAATCCCAGCATATTCCTACAAGCCAGGTGCTGGAAAGTTTGTACTCTTTTGTTCTGAAAATCTGGGGCATATTCATATTCAGGCTTATCAATGCCAATTAATGTGTAACTACAGAAAGATAAGCGTCCTTACTTTTTTTTTTTCCATAGCAAAACTAAAAAATTCATTAACTTTGTTTTAAGACATCTTACTCTGTAAAGTCAAAATTAACAGTGGATAAAATCCATTCCAGAAACTGTATAAAAAAAGAAAGTAACCAAAACACTTCACTAAGTGTCCCATCGATAATACAATCACTCTGCAATGTCACACAAAGGGGTCTAAAGCTTTGCAGATGGTCTGAAAGGATCGCAAGATACCATAAATTGTTTCCATTCTGCTCACTAGTGAAAACTACACAGATATTTCCGGTGACATAGAATGCAAAATCTATTACTAGTGACATCAGCTAAATTCTGTATCTCCAAAAAGCACACACTATCCCGTCTTCTGTATTTCTTCTTTTTCAAACTTCCAGTTTTCTGCCTCTTGTTTAGTAAGGGCCTGGGTTAGTCGGCCAAGTCACCCTGACTAAATGCAACACTGCCAAGATTCTCCAGAAAGCAAGAGGAAAATAGGTTGGTGTTTTGTTTTTTTTTTTTTTTACAGCTAAGGGTTGGTGAAAATTGGCAAGACTTGAATAGGTGATAATTTGTGGGACATTTTGTGTTATGCTTTTACTTTTCCAGAAGAAGGCTATAAGCATACATGGGTGTCAAGTAGAAAATTCACCATTTCAGTCATCTTCCTTATCTGCCTTTTTTCCTGTCCTAGTGGAAAACAGCCCATGACAGAAGTGCAGGGCCACCTGCACTGATGGCCTCAGGAAGACAAACACCAGCTCAGGAACAGTCACCTTAGGGCTCTTCCTGTCAAACACTCCAGACAGCTGGAGTCAAAGGCTGTAAGAAAACCTGCTGAAGTGAAAGCCATACTTAAGTTCTTCTTATCTGCTAGGGGATTCCTTCCTTTTATTCCTGAGTAATTTCTTACAAGGCTAAAAATACTTCAGTGGTGAAAGGCCTTAATAAGGAAGATAAGGTGACACCACACCAAATGTCCTGTAATGCAGGAACTGTTTGAAGGAGTAAAGGCAACACAAAGGTCTAGTTAACATCATATAGCTCAAAACAGCACCGAAGTTAACACATCAAATAATGGTTTGAGTTAAGCACAGTGTTGATGAAGTCTCTTGGCTTTCTTTACATACAGCTGCACATTTTCACTGGTTCACATAAGCAGAGACATTTCAGAGCAGCAAAGATCACAGTGAGCTACTTTGATGTGCTGCACAGGGCACAGAAACCACCCAGGAACCCCTGTGGCGGGGAGATGAGATGAGTTCTCCTGAGCCTCCTGACTGACTGCTGACCTCAGCTCACTGGTACTTACAGTAATCCCCAGGCGCGAGGCCAGCCTACATCCACTCCAAGCACCTTCACCCTGCTGGCACAAACTGAAGGTGCCAAAGAAGAAACAAGGGAAGCCTTATGCCCCTTGGGCAAGTGTTCCGTGCTTTGTGTCTCCATCTCTGACTTTCTTAAACTGTGTCACTCCTCAACACAGATTCTCCAAGGTGCATAAATTGGAGGAGAAGCTACTGCTGACTTATACCACTATGTGAATCTCAACCTGGAGCAGTAGCAGGCTGGAGAATAACCCAGCATACCTCTAGCCCCAGGAATGAAAACAATTCATGCATGGTTTCATGAGCTCAGCTCCAAAGCGAGAGGGGAGCTGCTGCCTTTCAGACAGCATGACTGACAAAACTAGACTGAAATGAATGCAACCACTACAGACTCCATCTTCCCATAGGAACAACACAAGGTCAGGGGAAGCTAAGAGCAACTGCTCACTGATATTTGCAATAACACCATTATAGTACATTACAAAATCCAAATCAGGCCAGTTTCTCCCCTGGGATTTAATAGCCTCCTTTTACCTATATGTTTATAGCACACCTGCTGCATTACTAATTACTACTGATAATTATCCTTTCTGGGAGGGTAGGATCCAATTTCTTAAATATCCTCCTGCTAAGAAAATAATGGGTAACTTAAGACAGAGCTGAGACCTTGCAGCTTTCCTTCTCACAGTCAGGTAAATTCCATTGTGGTTTTCTTTCTGCTATCCACAGCAGCAGACAGTCCCCTCCTCATAACCTTGCCTGACTGCTGCATGTGTCACCCGGAAATTTCACTTGTGCTCATCCAGATCACTGAAGTAAACTCCAAGCAAACAAGCATGCCCCATAGAAATAAAGACAGATTACTGATGCTTATCCAGTAGCACTGACAGTGCAGAAACCAAAGCAGCTTTGCTGTGTGCCATCTGTATGGTGCAGCCTGTATAACCTTTCCCAGTGGAAGGAAAATTACAAGGTATGTGAAGCCAATCTGCTGCATTCTCCTGTAAGGGCTACATAGATGACAGTAATGCTATTAACCTATTTTCTGGTCTTGCATGAACATCAAAAGTGCAGCAACACCCATAAATGTTGGTATTATCACATACAGCTCATGTCATATCATTAATCACTGGTAGCATTACTGCCAAGTGCCTGACAGTCAGGATGCAAACACTGCCCGTCCCACGTAGCAGCCACCTGTGCAGGCTGAGTGCTGCTTGTGAAGAATCACAGAATCATGGAATCATTAAGGCTGGAAAAGGCCACTAAGATCATCCAGTCCAACCATCAGCCCAACCCCACCATGCCCACTGACCATGCCCCTCAGTGCTACATCCACACAGTTCTTGAACACCTCCAGGGACGGTGACTCCATCTCTTCCCTGGACAGCCTGTGCCAGTGCCCAACCACTGTTTCTGAGAATACATTTTTCCTGATATCCAACCTGAACTTCTCCTGGCACAATTTGAGGCCATTCCCTCTCATCCTATCACTATTTACTTGGTAGAAGAGGCTGACCTCCACCTCGCTGCAATCTCCTTTCAGGTCACTGTAGAGAGCGATAAGGTCTCCTCTGAGTCTCCTCCAGACTAAACCCCCCCAATTCCCTCAACAGCTTTCCATCAGACTTGTGCTCCAGACCCTTCACAGTCTTTCTCTGGACACACCCCAGGACCTCAGTGTCTTGTAGTGAGGGGCCCAAAACTGAACACAGTACTCAAGGTGCACC